GAAATCACTCCTCAGGAGAAGCGGCCATGCTGCAATCCCTTCTCTTCTATTCACCTCTTGGGACTTTGGGCACACATGCCCATGTGCCCAGCATGTTTCAAGTCGCCCGGTCCAGGACTCAAACTGTGGTTGACCATATAAGAGTCCAGCACCCTAACCACTAGGCCACATGCTGACCCCTACAGACACTTCCTTATTGCATCTTTTTTTTTTTAAGTGTATTTATTTCATTCATGAGTGAAAAACATAGGAAGAGAGAGAAAGAGAGAATCCCCAACAGGGTCTTGATGGTATGACATCCTCACCTTTCACCCATTTTTGTATCATGGGCATGATCGTATTTTGTAACTGCACCACCATCTGGCCCCTATTTCATCTTTATAAGCATGTGACGGAAAGACTGGCATCCTCATGTTACAAACGTAGGACCCAAGGCTCAGCGAGTTTATCTATCATTGACAAAGTCACACGGCTGTTAAATGGAAACGCCAAGATCAGATCCAGGTCCATCTCATCCCAAAGCCTGACATTGCTTCTGCCCAGCCTCCCTCTTGTTTCCCAGGCTGGTTGGGACATCAGTATCTTCTTTCTTTTCCACACCAAGGCTTGGGACAGCCTCAGCTCTGCTTAGGGAGTAGTAGTCAGTCTATGGCATGTCAGAAGAATAATTATTCCTGTCAAGGATTCATTCTGCCCCCAACTCTCCTGGAATAGCTGCCCCCCAGGCTATTTGTGTTTATAGGGTGGCTCAGAGAGAGATGTGGCTAGGGTCTGAGGATCTGGCTCCCTCCTTGAATGCTTACAGTATTTGAGATACATCTCTTGACACTTTGAGCTTGTCCTCTGTTACAATTAGTTGGGTCCTTGTCAGCTGCTCTACCAGGCTATAGGCACCACTGAAAACCCCAAAGTGCATGCAAATACTAGGTGCTCAATAAATTAGCCTTTCAGTATCACATCGACTCAAATGTTTAGAGTCAGGCTTTCCTGGAAGGAGCTCCATGTGTGAGCTTGTGAAACATTCTTCGTGATCAGCCTGCATTTAAGTTTCTATCCCTAAGTATCCTCCCTTCTCATGACCTGTGTTATGAGATGAGAGACTGACTTTGCACCATCCCTTTCTCCCTGGTCTTCCATGGGAGGCTCGCCTGGGTCCCACCAGCACCTTTGCTGTCCGCTGCAGGGTTACAGAGGATGTAGAGGAGGTAGTCCTGGAAAGAGGTCCTGTTCAGAACAGGGAAGCTGCGGTTGTCTTTGTTTCCCAGCATTCTCTGGAGCCAAAGGGTGTGAGGTGTACAAAGCAAGATAGCACAGCAATGCAAGGCCTGCAAGGTGACCAACCGCTGTATTTTTTTTTTTTTTTTTGGAGAGGTTTTCACTATAGGGTGCTTGCGCTTGCCAGACAGACAGAGAGAGACATAGAGACAGAAAGCGAGAAATCACCCCCCAGGGAGGATGGTCACGCTGCAATCCCTTCTCCTCCATTCTCCTCTCGGGATCTTGGGCATGCACACACACACGCCCAGTGTGAGTTTTAAGTCACCGGGTCCGGGACGCGAACTGCGGTTGACTACGTGGGAGTCCAGCGACATAGCCATTACACTAACTGCTGGTTTCCACCAACAGCTGTATTTTTGTGCAAGCCAAGGAACAAACACGTATGTATGAAACACTGTTCTGAGTCAAAGCCAGATGCCACTTTTTACTGGCTATACTGGAAGAAAAGGGGCTAGAATGGAAATTCCTCCCATTTGGGCATGTTCGGTGCTATGGGATGACTGGAGTCCTCCTGTTCCATAGTCGTGGGGAGGCACAGATTGCTGCACTGTGATACAGGGGAGTTCTCCCCTCTAGGGAGGCTTTCTGAACCTCCCAGGCCTAATTAGCAAGCCTTCCTCTCTGTCTTCGTTCAGCCTAGGCACACATCTGTCAGTGCACAGAATTGGAATATTGTCTTCTGGGCTCTGTCTCCCCAGCCAACAAGGGCCATACCCCACCCATCTTCCTGCTCCAGGTGCCCGGGATGTAAGACAGCCTCAGAGAATGCTGCTGGTGAACAAATGGCTTAGATTTGGGTTTAGGTCTAGGCTCTCTTTCTAACCAGTGTGACCTTGAGCATCTAAACTGACCTCTATCTTAGCCACTTTCGCCTTAAAGTCATCATTTCTACGTCAGAGTTGCCATGAGGAATTAATAAATATTCCAAGTGTAAATGTCAGCCGCTGTTTCTTTCCTGCATAATCTCTGTGGAGGAAAAGGGAGACATTGGCAGCATGGGGCAGATATTAGGTGAGTAAGACCTGCTGCCTTTTCCTGCCATGATCTCCACGTCCCCACCGGACTCTCTGAGTTTCAGCCAGCATGATGCAGGCCAAGTCTGGACACTCTGTTCCAGATAGTTTTCCACCTAGTCCACTGAGTGTCCTTCTGGTCTCATTTGCCCACCCTCAGAACTTCCTCTCTCCATAAAAAGTAAGATGATCCAAAGAACAAAAGTGCAAATCATAGCTCCTGAAGACTTGAACAAAGGTAGAACATAGTTTTTCAATTTTTTAAGAAAGTTTGTTTCTTCCCTGAAAGAGAGAAATCCTCCGCTCCCCCGCCCCTGCCCACTACCACCAACAGAATCTTCACGTCGTGATCCACCCCAGCTACAGCAGGCACAGGGAGGCCTCAGGCTGTGAACCTGGGACCTTCCTGTGTCAGTTCAGCATTGCAAAGCTTTATGATACTCTGTAACATCTTCTGGCTCTCAATTTAAAAAAAAAATGTGTAATAATACACATATCATAGAATTTATTTACCATCTTAACCATTTTTAAATTTTTTGAGAGGTTTTTGCTATAGGGCATGTTCACTCACTGGAGAGACAGAGAGATAGAAAGTGAGAACTCACCCCCCAGTGGGGTGACCAGACCACAATTCCTTCTCCTCCGTTTTCCTCTTAGGGTTGTGGGCACACATGAACACATGCCTGGTGTGAGTTTCAAGCCACTGTGGTCAAACCGTGGTCAACCACGTGGGCGTCCAGCACACCTTAACCACTACACCACCTACTGGCCCCCATCTTAACCATTTTTATGTACACAGTTTAGTGGTATTAAGTACATTTCTATTGTGCAACCATCACCACCATCCAATTTCAGAACTCTTTTCATCTTATGAAACAGAAACTCTATGCCCATTAAATACTAACTTTGGAGACCAGCAGGTAATGTGGTGGTTAAGGTGCTGGAGCCCCACATGGTCAACTGTGGTTCAAGTCCTAGACCTGGTGGCTTGAAAATCACTCTGGGTTCGTGTGTGTGCATGCCCAAGATCCCTAGAGGAGAGTGGAGGAGAAGGAATCGTGGCATGGCCATCCCTCCTGGGGGGCGGGGGGTGTGTGATTTCTCACTTCCCCTCTCACTGTCTTCCTCTTTGTCTCACCAGTGAGTACATATACCTTATGATAAAAACAAAACAAAAACAAAACAAAACAAAGATAAACAAACAAACAAAAAATAAAAATAAAATGCTAACTCTCTATTCCCCCTTCCTCTAGTCCCTGGAAACCACCATTCTACTTTCTGTCTCTATGAATCTGACTACTTTAGATTCCTCACATAAGTGGAGTCATACAATATTTATCCTTTTGTGTCTGGCTTCTTTCACTTAGCATAATGTCCTTAAGGTTCATTCATGTTGTGCATATGTCAGAATTTCCTTCCTCTTTTTTTAAAATTATTTTTTTATTAACAGAGGGCATGTGCACTTGTGAATGGGAGAGAGAAAGAGAGAGAAAAAGAAAGAAAGCACTTCCTAATGAGCTGTGTTTTTCAAGACATCAGGGCTGGAAGTCAAACTTTAGTTGGCCATGTGGGATGTGGCTCCCTTAACCATTGTGCTGTGGGACCAGACCCTGGAATTTTCTTCTTTTAAGACTGAATAATACTCCATTGTGTGTATATATACACCTTTTTGCTTATCCATTCATATTCCTTTGTGTGTACCTACCACATTTTGCTATGCAAGGATGGCCATGTAGGTGAAGTCTTCAGCTCCATGTTGGTGCAGTGTCTTCTCTGCATACCCTGGCAGCTAGTTGCCTATCTGCTCCTGGGTTTATGTATTTAGTGAGCACACGTGGGGAATTTGCAGTGTACCAGGCTCTACGGCAAGCCTCACAGATGATGAGAGGAGTAAAACAGCATCCTTGCTCTCAGACCTAGTAGGGTGCTTGCTCTTTAATTAGGTGCTAGTGATAGCTATGTAGTGGAGGGGTGGTCCGTCTCTCTAGTGGGAAAGATGGGTGTATCAGGAAAGAGTTGGCAGAGGAGGTGATATCTGAGCTGTGTCTTGACAAGTGAGTAGGTGTCTGGCAGGCAAGCAAGCCTGGGAAGGGCATTGCAGGTAGGGATGCATAGATGGTGAGTCAGTGGGGGTCCTGCAGAGGCTGCAGTGACTGGGGTACAGTAGGAAGAAAGCACAGAGAGAGATGAGGCTGTGGAGCAGGGTTGGCCAGGATACTGGGGGGCTTGTTTGCTACCTCAAGGGGCTATAGTTTATTCTAAAGGAGCCAAGCCTAGAAAAGTCTCATTGGGGAAGTTTAAGGGAAGGAGCAGTTTCAACTATGCTAGGTGTTCTACTAGGGAGGGCATGCTATTTCAGGGGGGTGGATACTGGACAAAGTAATTTCTTAGGTTATTATACCTCCTGAACTTAGTGGCTCCCAATGAAGGATCTCTTGCTCAAGAAGAATGAACTGGGGCCCCACCTTGGTTCTAAGTGAGGAGACCTTAAAGGTACCAATTGTATCCTTAACACTGAGGTTGATGGTAGTGATGAGGCCTTGGATAACTACATACTTGAAAACCCACAAGCTCCAAAATGCCCACTTTGGGCCAAAGTGGAGAAGAAAGTCAGCTCTAGCTTTCAGTTAATGAGGAAGCAGGAAACCTACTGAATGTGAACATGGTCAACTTGAACAGCTGGGAGCAACCTGGGCTTCCTGAACTTACCTAAGAGAAGGGAAGAAGACCTGGAATTGGGTCAGAACACGAGATTCAGTTCCCATTTCACTCAGTCACCAGCTGTGTGATATGTGAGAAACTGACGGACTTCTCTGAACTTGTTTTCTCATCTGCAAAACAGGGATGACAAGGGCTGACACCATGGCCCATGGTTAAGGGAGCTGGACCCCACATGGCCAACTATGAAGTTTGAACCCTGGCCCTGGCAGGATGAAAAATATGCCTCTCTTGGGGTACTTTCTCCATCTCTTTCTGTCTCTCTCTGGTGAACATGGATGCCCTCTGGAAATTAAAAAAAAAAAAAAAAGAAAGAAAGAAAAATAAGGGAACCAGCAGGTGGCATAGTGGTTAAGGCGCTGAATTCTCACATGCCAGGTGCATGCACATGTGTGCCCAAAATCCTAGGAGGAGAATAGAGAAGAAGGGATTGTGGCATGACCATCCTCCCCGGGGGGTGATTTCTCACTTAGTCTCCGTCTGTCTCTCTCTGGTAAACGCATGTACCTTATGGCAAAACTAAAACAAACAAACAAACAAACAAACAAACAAACAAACCAGGGATGACAAGACCTACTTTGTTTATTTTCCATCCAAATAAATAAGTAAATCACTCCTGGTGATTACAGCTGTGATTCCTTATTTTCCTCCCAAGCCCCCCTGGTCTGGTTATTCACTAGAAATGACGGGTGAGTGTGGCTTGCAGAGAGGAGCAGGGAGGAACAGGAAGGGTAGATGAAGGAGCCGAGCAAGGATTCTGGGCACAGACACAGGCAAGAAATCCCCAGTTTTTGTGTGGGAAGCAGAAATTTGCAAGGAGGTGGTTCTGGGATGTGCTGGTGAGAAAGCCTGAGCAGAGACCCCATGAGGGATGACAGCAGTGCCTCAGGTGCCTGCTACCTGAAGAGGACCCTTCTGGGACCTATCTCTGTGGGCAGATGTAGCCAAGGTCAGTGAGAATTAGAGCTACGCCAACTGATGCCAGGGACAGGGCACTAGAGCTGCATTCAGGAAGCGGAGCCCAATCCGAGTTCGGGCTCCATGCCTCCCTGTGCTGGTTTCCTCATCTGTGACTTCAAAATTATACCTGCCTTATCTGGTGGGCTGTAATGGGAAAGTGCTTTTTAAACTCCAAAGAGCTAAAGAAATGCTTATTTCTTGTATTGCTCTTCTCTATTCAGGCAGCTAAAAGAGGGTTCTGTCTTCACAAAAAACCTTGCAGCTGTTCTCGCCAATTCTGGGTCTATGGGGCCCGCCCATCCGCCCAAGACACTTTGCTGTTCGCCAGCCTTGGCCGCCCAGTAGGCCTGTAAAAGCTAAGAATACGTTATAAAACTGCTGTAAGGTTTTATGAGTCCTCTTTCCCAGGGACCGATCTCGGTGCTGTGAATCATACCTGTGTCTATATGTGGGGCTCAATGCGGGGCCTGGAGTGGGAAAACAGATGGGGTGGGGAAAGGCAGATTCCAGGGGGTATTTGGAGACACAGGTTGGTGCCATGCAAAAGGCCTTCGACTTGGGGTGACCTTGGCTGACTCTCCTGCCACCTTGGTTGGATCTTTTCGTCTGGCCCCAGAGATGGGAATGAAAAAAAGAAGAGAGAAAAAATAAGATGTGGCAGGACTGGACACAAGTCTGGAGTCACACAGACCTCAGCACGGGTCTCTCTGCCTCTGTTTTCTAACTGGGTAACTAGGGCAGGTCACTGAACCTCTTTGAGCCTTAGTTTCATCATCTATAAAGAGGGGACAATGATAGTACTGGGCTTATAGAGTTGTTCAAATGAGATAACGGATGTAAAGTGCTTAGCAAGATGTCTGAAGCAAAGTGACCACTATTACAATAATAGTGATTAATAGTGATCACTATTATGTTAATGGTAATAATAATAATAATTTTTTTTTTTAGGTTTTTGTCATGAAGTGCATGTGCTCGCCATGAGAGAGACAGAAAGAGAAAGTGAGACATCCACTCCCTAGGGGGGATGCCTATGCTGTAATCCTTCCTCCTCCATTCTCTCTTGGGATTTTGGGCATGCATGCGCATGTACCTTGTGTGAGTTTCAAGCCACCGAGTCTGAAGCTTGAACTGTGGTTGGCCATATGGATGCAGTGTCTTAACCTCCATGCCACCTGCTGACCCCATTATTTTGATAATAAAAATGTTAAGTATTGCAATTTTTTGTGGAGAGATTAGTAAGTGTCTAATTAATATTTTAGGAATTTCATCCATCTGGACGAACAAATGCATAAACTGAAAGAAATGGAGAAGAGGAAGAAGAAAAGGGAGGAAAAGAAAATCTCGCTGGAAAGTCACCTTCTCCATGAAACCCTCTCTTATCCTTTCTGGCCTCCGTTTTCCTCACCTATTCATTGAGGTTTGGGATCAATTTGTCTTCAAAGTCTCTCTCAGCTCTCATAGTTGAAGACTCTTGACTCATACCTTAATTCTTGCCTTAACCCAATATTTACTGAGCCTCTACTATGTGCTCAGTAGTACACATAAAACCTTTACCCTATTGACACTTGCTTTCTAGTGGTGGCAGAGGTGAAACACACAAAAAGATGATCAATAAATAAGCTATGTACTTGACTGGGAGCCATCAAGTACACAGTGAACTAGAAAACAGGGTGAGGAGGATGGTGAATGCCAGGACCTTACAGTTGATGAAGGGAGGCTGGGGTAGGTCTCCGGTGATGTGGCGCCTCCTGAGCAAAGACTTACAGTAGGGGGAGTAAGTCATGCTGATAGCTGGGACAACCTAGGTAATGGGAACAGCCAGTGCAAAGGCCCTGAGGCCCTTCTAATATGTCTAATATGTTAGAGGAATAGCAGAGAGTACCTAAGCCCATTCTTGCTAAAAAAAGAAAGAAAGCAGAATACAAAGTGCATTCCCCTAGGTTGATCAGGGAAGCTCCAGCTGAGGTCTTTATCCTTCCTCCTGACTGGTCCCCTTCTTTCTTCCTACCCCTTTTCCTTGGATTTGTCTTGGCCAAGGCTCTCATCCTGACAATAGATGGCAATGAAGACTATATTTCTTTTTCAACTGAACCATTTAAATGATACCAATTTCTTTGCTGGTAGGACATGAAACCTAAATCTTCGGTTGGGCAGAAAGGTGTGAGAAGCAGCCTCAGATCACACACCTAAACCTGGAAGAGAAAAGCGAGTGAGGAAGGTGGCCAGGGCCAGGCAAAGGCAAAGAGGATGAGCCTCTCTGGCTGGGCTAAGTGACAGAGCCAGCCTCTACATAGTTCTGGCTCTTGGCTGTGAAAATGTGCTCAAGTCACTCTCTGGACCTCGATTTTCTCCTCCTCTTTGAGAGTATTGAGCTTGGAGATATCCGAGAGTCTCCAAGTCTGGCAGGGATGTGGCTATTGTTCTTACAAGTTGGTATTTCCTTGGATAAGTCTGATTTGCCTTTGGGCCTTCAGCATGGGAATCACAGGGATGGTGTTTGAGGAATAATGGGAGGGAAGAGCTTCCCTACCTCTCAGGGCCTTTGTCAGGAAAGCTTTTTATCAAGAGATACCTAAGCTTGAGCTCCTCCCCTACTCTGGCCTCAGACATCCTGTTTGACTGAGGATTGACCTCTCAGCCCAAGGGACCGTCTATCAAGGGGTAGTTGATGGGAAAAATCCATTTGTTTACTTTCCATTAACTTCTCTCAAGTGGACTGTGTGCAGGGGGAAAGGATGCCCGGAGCTGGTTGGAGGGGAGGATAGGCCCAGGTCAGCCTCACTTCCTCTTTTCTCTTAGTTTACCTCTCTCATCCTCATTTCTCCTCAGTTCAGAGTCAAGGCTTCACGAGTGCCTTCCAGGTCCCAGTCCTGGGAGTCTCCAGCCTCGCTTTGGTCTCACCTGGAGCCCGACTGCCCTAATGAAGAGAGCCTAAGTCCCTGCATGCGTCTCCATGCTCCCCGGAGCTAGTCGTGCTGGGTGCATGCAAGGCAATGTAATGGCCCAGCTATTGATCCGCAGATGGCAATTCTGAGGCAGCCATTGGTGCTCTGCGGGAGAGCGCGTGGCGGGGACGTGGTGATTGTGGAGCAATGGCCTAGACTGCCAAGGAATCTCTGGGAAGCTGCAGTGGCCCTCAGTCTGCATGGTGCACCCAAAGTTTGTGGGGCTTTTCAATGTCTGCCCTCCCCAGCTGTAGCAAAAGGAAGAATCAGGGGCAAGATGAGGAGTATCACTCTTAATCCTGTTTGGTTGAGGGGGTAGGAGGCAGGGAGGCCGAGAAGTAGAACACACTCTGCATCCAGGACCTGCCAGGGCCTCTTCTATCAAGGAGCTGAGGTGTCATCGTTGGTGACCCGAAAGTGACAATTCAGGCTGCTGCACCAAGGGAAGTGCCTTCCCGTGGGAAAACAGCTCCAGATGACTGAGGCACGTCCAAGCGGAAAGCTGGGGCATTAACTTAAAAAAATAATGAGTGTAAAGGAAACTGTGAAATCCAGCTTCTATACTCTATTTACATGGGGTCCACTTCATTTAGTCCTTAAGCACTAGTTCCTCTCCCCCCAAAGGCCCCGAGGTACAGTGCAAAGATGCAGGACCTAGAATTGTAGATGTTCTCATGGCAACTTGTGAGACTTCTGGGCTCTTTGTATTGAATCTGGGAGATTCTTTGCATCATCTGAGTCTTGTTGAACTCATTCGAAAATGGAGACCAAGGTGAGAGAATTATGTGAGAAGGTACATGGGAATCCTTTCTGTTATTGTTTGCTATAGGGTGCACGCATTCGCTGGAGAGAGACAAAGAAAGAGAAGGTGAGAGAGAGGGAAAGTGAGAAAGCACCCTTTCAGGGGTTGGGGGTGGGGGTAGGGTGAAAGTGGGGATAGCCACCCTCCAATCCTTTCTCTCCTATTCTCCTCTTGGGATTTTGGGCACATATGCACAAGTGCCCAGCATATTTTTCAAACCACCAGGCTTGGGATTTGAACTACACTGTCGGGCAGTGGAATCCAGCCACCTTAAGCACCATGCCACTGGCTAGCCCCATGGGAATCCTTTATGTAGCACACAGCACTACTAAAAGTTAGCTATGGCTGT